TTGCATGTTTAGTTACAATGTACAAGGTAGCTGGAACTCCAGTGCTGTTCCTACACCATACCAAGTACAGCAGCTGGAAAGAAATTGCTTGAAAATTGAAAGCAAAAAACCACCATAGAACTTTCACATCGACAATGAAACCAAAAGTTTTACTTCTACTACTACTAATTCATTAGCACCCCTTTACTTGTTCCATCCGTGGACAAGGTTCAGATGGATGGATCTATACATGATGTTCCAGCATGGTAGCATGGTTGTGGGCAAGTATCGGCGTATACGAGGAAAGGAGACGAAACCAAGGACAGCTTTTTCATGACAATGACTCTTTTCTGGAGGGAGTGACACGAGGGGAAGGGATACATGAAGGGGGAGCACAGTAGAGGATGAAGGGGGTACATGGATTCTTGGGCTACATGAGTCGCAATGCTATAAGATGCGAGGGAGGGGGTCTTGTCTAATTAAAAACAACATAGAAAAGGGACTGGGAAAGGTGAAAAGGGTTGTATCAAGAAGAAAAAGGAAACTCGGACAGGGCCATACAGGAATTGGGAAGAGTAACTCATTCGAACGTGTGTCATCAGGGAATTGAGCACCAGCAAAGGGTTTTGGGGAACGAAGTTCGTGACCAAAGGAAGTGATTGGAGAGGAATCCTGTGCTGGGGAATAAAAGGAAGAGGAATTTGAGGCCATCAGCCAAGCGCTCGGATTCGACAACGTCCAGAACGAGACAGCTGCCATGTACACATCAGGAGCACCAATTAGATGTGGACTCAAGCAGCCCTAGGACCTGGGGCACTGAGGCCAACAGACCCGATGTGAGTGGCAGCTACTTTGGAAGACGGAAGCGGACCGGAAGCACTGGTAGTCAACCGGGTGAGACATAGTGATGGCTTTACGCCATACCAGCACCCATGTTGATCTGGCGCTTGACCTGCTCGCGGGTCCAGCGGGCAGTCTCAATTGTGCGCTCGCTGTACTGTCTGGTTGTGCGAGTCTCTCTCACGAGAGAGGTGACCCAGTCATTGCGGAAGTAGGCAGCGAGCTCGCCGTTGGGGAAAGCATCAGCAAGATCACTATTGAAGAGTTAGCATAGGCAATCGAGACTAGGAGATGCCAAAACCTACCCAATCACACCCATGGCAGACCGCATCAAACCTTCGCTGCGGTTGCTTTCCTGGGAGATAATGTGAAGAAGCTGGAAAATAGACTCGATGAAAGGTTGCAGTTGGGTGACTGTGATCTAATTAGCAAGCCGACATCGTAACTGCATGAAGAGTGAAGAGCAACATACTCGAAGCAGTGCCCTTGTAAGACAGAAGAATAGCACCCCAAGCATCCATGATGCCTTCACGGAGAGAAACAATGTAGTCCACCATGTCGTATGGGAGGTCGGAGCTGGTGGTCACGCTGGAGGCTTGCTGGAGAACCTGGCCAACGACTGTCAGGTACGTATCGAAGTTGGTTCCGATGGCCTGGGCGATGTCGCCAAAGGTCTCAAGAATCGCAGGCTTGAGCTGGTTGGTGGAAGTCTGTTTGAGAAGTTAGCATTGAACATCTACCTAGATATGTCTAGGAGACACAATCTCACCTGTAGAGTCTTGAGCAGCAGGTTCATGAAAGTGTCGCAGTAAGGCTGAACCTTCTCGTTCAAGGCACGAGCAATGTCACTGACCAAGCCGATGGCCATAGAGCAGAGACCGGGCTCCTCCTGGTTGCCCAGGGCGTTGTACAGGAATGGGCTGAATGACTCCATGTACTTGACGAAATCATCCTCAAGAGCACTGGCAATCGCACCGACGGTGGCAAAGATGACATCTGGCACGCTCGACTTGGCACCAAGGGTATTCAGGACCTGAAGCATCACGCTCATGATACGGTCAGCCTGAGGCTTGATCTCGGCCTCGAAGCGCTGGACGATGGCCAGAATAACACTGATCAAGCTAGTCTGCATCTCCTCGAGGAGAATACGATCCTCGGCACTAACGACCTGCTGCTGCATGGGAACAGTGTGCTCAAGACGTTGGATTATGACATCTGAGAGGGTCGCAACCATGGGCAGGCTGTCATTGGCAGAGTTCATAACAAAAGAGTTGAGAACTTCGTATCCAGCAGTACGGAGCTGGTTATCGGCATCTTGTCTGTACGAGCGTTAGGTTAAAGAAACCGAAAGGATATCAGTCAGGGAACGTACCGCTCAGTCACGGTCAGTAGGGACTTCACACTGTCTTCAAAGTGCTTCGACAAAGGGTTGGTCTGCGAGCCATCGTCACCAGCAAATCGGTCGGCGACGTTCATGAGAGCCCAACAGCAAGAGCTGGCAATCTTGGGGGAGTTGGCGAGGCCGTTGAAGAGGCAAGAGATAAGCGGCTGGAGGTGAACCTCGGGGTCGAGAACCTCGGGGCAGCAGTCGCACACGCGACCCAGAGCGTAGGCAGTGGAGTCCCGGACAGAGATGGAGCTATCCTCCATCATGCCAAGCAAAACAGACAAAGCCTGTTTGATCAGGGGCTCCAGGACCGTGGGTTCAGGGCCTTCCATGATAGCGCCGAAAGCAGCGACGGCGGCATCACGACGGTGCCAGTCCTCGTTGCGGATGTTCTCCTCAACAAAGGTCACGACAGGTTGAATAACATCACCCTGCACACACTGGGCGTAAAGCTGCATAGCCTGGTAGGCAGCACGGGAGACATTGTACTCATTATCATCAGCGTCCTCGTCCTGTCGGCACATTGATTGTAGCAAAACAGGAACAACCTCGCGGGTAGCAACGCGAGCAAATCCGAAGAAAGGACGAGCTTCAACACCCTCCTGCTGAGCCTATAACAAACAGAACGTCAGTACATGGTCAAAGTCACTCGGTCTTGTGCGCTTGATACATACCTCGGCGTTGTCATCCTCGATGGCAATCTCCTCCTCACAGACGGTACACCAGAACTCAATAGCCAGCTTGGCGACTTCTTCCTCCTCGCTCTTCATGCCCATGATGCTCAGGCCAAACAGAGCCTTCTCCATGTAAAAGCGCATTTTCTCGTAGTAGGATCCCATGATGCGGTTCAAGCAGCCGAATGCAGCAGCCTGCACACGGACTTCATCGGCCTGAGTAGCCTCGCAGACGACCTGCATAATGTAGTTGCGCTCTCCCTCGTTGTCCATGTTGGTTCGCACGAAATCGACGGCATCACTGAGAGCGGCGATAGCAGCGTACCGGACATCCATGTTCGGCTCCTCGCGCCGAGCACCCTGGACAACCGCAGTAAGGATGGCATTGGAGTGTTGTGTCAGACTGGCGCGGAGATCGGGATCTTGCGACTCGCAAATGTAACCGATGGCAGTGAGAGAGGACTGCTTCAGTGCGTCGTTTCCACTGGCGACATTTTGGACAAGAATGCCCATCAACTCGGGCCATTCAGCACGCGGCAACTCGATGGCGGCGATAGAAACAATCAGTGTAGCGGCGGCATTTCCAGCGCGAGCGTCGGGTGACTGCAAAGTCTTGAGCGCAAGCTCTTTGACCTGTGTCTTAGTCTCGGCGTTGATGCTCTGGGCCCATCGAAGCTGCACCTCGCGCAACTTGGCTTGGTCCCGGAAAGTGAAAGCGTTCTTCAAAGCGATACCGGCAGCAACACGGATATGAGCGGGGCTGCTCTCGTTGGCGAGTTCCTGGCCGAGGGTGATGAGGTAGGCAGCCTATCGAGCGACAGAAGTATCAGCATTCAAGAACCTGGGAAATTCTTCATGATTCGTGAAGGGGGGGTTGGTGGGAGATACATACGAAGTCAACCTCCGCCGCGTGGGCGAGTTGCTGTTCGGCATTGCTACGCTCGGTCGCATCTGGCGCGAGGGTACTCTGCAACACCTGACGGACGTCCATGATGTGCAAAGAGATGAAGGATGTGGGGGGGGAGAGAAAAAAGAAGGAAAAAAGAGGTGGAGAAAAGATTAGAAAAAAAGCCTTGAATACCCCTCTGGACCCGGATCAATCAAAGGGTTCGACACTCGGTGATCACCACGATAGAAGCAGTGGTGGAAGAGGATTTCCTGTGGAAGAGTGGGAAGAAGGGACGGGTGTTTTTTGTGGATATGACGAGGCGGCATGCACTAGGTCTTTCCGCGACGAGAGGCACAGAGAGGAAAAGGTGCCTTGAGTGCACGCCCGAATTTCAACACACAGAAATTAGTTTGGAAATTCTGGGGAAGATGAAATATGTCTGTAGAAGTGTAAGATCTGTGAAGAGACTAAAACAAAGATTCGAAGCAAGAAAGACCACAATGAGTGAGGTTCTACCGGGGGTCGCCCTCTGATTGGCCCTCGTGCGGGGGTTAGTCATGTGCACGTGATTTATGCCTCAGGCTACAGTCTCCCGTGCTCAGTCAAGGACTCTCTTGCTACAATAGATCTGAGGGCATCTTCTAATTTTGACGAGCTCCAATTTCAAGGTCTTGTTCTGCACTTCTCTTCTTCGCTCGACTTTTGTGGCTCGGGGAGCATAATCAGTGTCAAGGCGATGCAAATTGTGCGCCTGTTGCATCTTCATCGGGCTTCCCACTTCCCACCATGAGGGCCTCAATTGTATCGAGAATTAGCTACAACATTAATACTTTGTATGTGTATGCAGAAAAGGATTTTAGCTTATTACTAGGGGGGCTTTAAAAGGTCCTGTGTATGGCTCTTACTTTTTTCCGTCTTCACGAATTTTTTGTGTCAGAGTACATACTCTATGCCGCCAAGTTGGATTCACTGTCTCTAAATTTATCACTGAAAAATCCAAAAAAAAAAGAAGACGTTGAAAAGGATATCCCAGCATTTTTCCACATAGTCTCCCTTGCATCATCTTGAGCCAGATGATTCAGATTATTCCAGTCCTCATCGAGGACAAAATGTGAGCGGCTGTCGTATAAATTAAGAAAAAAAAAACAGTCATTACCCGAGGTGTGGGGGGATTCGAGTGTGCGTGTCGAATCACACCGCTACTGGGCCCCAGACAATTTTTTTTTTAAAAAAAAATTCCTTGTGGGAAAGTCTTACAACATAGATTTCGTTATTGTTTTGTTTTTTCCACTGTTTTTACCTCGCAAGTCTACCTGTCATTGCATCATGGTAGCGCGGGTGGAATCGGATTTATAATGGGACAAGCGTGATTGTGGAAGTACCTGAGGTCTCGGTTCCATATATCTTTCTATTCTCGTCGGGTGCTAATTTGACGTGGAACAACTGTGCCAAAGTGGAAAGCAAAACGCGAAGACCCATCATAGCTACAATTTACAACATAATTGGGATAGCTAGAGGCTCCTGAAGGAATGGGTGATGGACGTTAACTACAACATACGTTGTAGGTGTGAATCTTGCGTTCGTGGGACAGTAATTACCGAGTATAAATGGGGGCGCCTTCGGGGCACATTTCTATGTCTAGTTCGATATTCTGGTATAAATTATTAGGCATTGGTGCAGTACCTTTCGTCCGTCGGTATCAATTGAGCTGGAACAAATGCGTCCTTATCAACGTGGATTCTCTCGGCTGGAGTAACGCTCTGTGTACCTGTCATTACTGCAGGTCGCAGGCGACATGGATCTTATATGATCTCGTCGAGGTGGGTGACGGACTCGACGTTCTCGTATGACCAATCCTCGGACCTTCCTGACATGGCTTCATCTAGATGGTGTTGCAGCTGCGAGGGTGTTGCGAAATTCTTTGCCAGATATTTAAGCCCAGATAGCAAAGTAGTAGCTCTAGTCTCACTGCTAGCAACTATAACCACTCGTGAACCTTCATGAAGAGCAGCCTTTGTTGGAGCGGCAGATATTTTCTTCTCGGCATAGGCTTTCGATAGCCACGAGACCAAAATTTGTGGGCTTTTCCCCATATTCCAATCCTGAATTTATAAGTAATGCGATGGCATGTGTGCAGAGATGAACTTGCGTACCTTTTTTGGTCGCTCATTTTTACCTCCCCCCGAAAGAGGCTGACTACAGGAATCGAGCATCCTACGAACCAAGGGGTTCATGACCTTGGGGCTATTCTCGGAATACTTGGTCATACTCCTTGGTTCTTCAATCTTGCAAGCTGGAACCCGGGAGCAACGTCTGGACATATCAGGTTGCTTGAATCTTTTCCGAACCTAACACTTCCCACGATGTCAAAACTTTGAAACATGGACCAAGCACTAGCATCGATAGGTTGAGTCGTACTGCTTTCAATGTAAAGATGCAAACTGGTCTACCTTGTCGTCGACACGTGGCCCCTAAGTCGCAAGAACTAGTGAAAATTCTTAGTATATTTGTGTGAATAAAGGATTTTAAGAAACTGTTCTGCTCCCCCCCCCCTCCCCCCCTCGATGCTAAACCCACGGTCTCATAAGTTGCAGCGCTTTCGGTGATTCGTTATGTCGCACGAGTGATAAATTGAACCAAAAAAAATGGACGGCGTCGACACTTGAGATCCCCCACGGCGAGCCCGAGACCGAGAAAATCGGCGCTTAATGCTTGATTGAGTCCCTCCACAGACAACAGTGAAGGAACAGCTATGAGACAGAGGAGGGGGTACGATCGGAGAAAGAAGATATAGATTATCCTAGACCTCATCTCACTAGTTTCCTACCTGTTATTGGTGCCGGGTGGAAAGGTCGTATGTCGTGGGCTTGATCGAGAGGAAGGAGTCTGTGATGCAGCGATGTAAGCGCTGTGACATGACAAACTCAAGCGGGATCTAGGATAACCAGCTGATGAACCTGGGGAACAACGTCACTGCCCCGGTTACTGCACGTTTCCCTCGCAGTGGGAAGGACTCGCTTCAAGCCATAATGACTAGATCGTAACCTTTAACTCCCGGGCATCGAACGGGTAGCTGATTAGCGGTATGGAACTTCCCGCTGTGGAGAATAGAGGTGTGTAGGTGGCAGATTGGAATCGAAGTGGGATTAGAACCTTGGACCTTTTTAAAAAAAAGCAACTTCGCGATCTTTGCCAATTAGGTTATGATCAAAGAGGATACATACCAATTATCAAGCTTCGAGAGTGGATTTAACACGCTGCTTCAACAATCCTTGCCTGTAGCGCCGATGACAAGAATGATAGGAGCTATGCTAAGTCAAGAAAGAGATTGTCCAAGCAAAGCGCACGAGAAGATGAATTGGGACAGTGTCAACTATCGAGGGACTTGTTGTGAACTGAGGTTCGTGCACGGCCTTGAGAATTGATAAATTACAGCCTTCAGTAAAGCGTAGTCCTAACAGAAGTTATCCGTGTAAGTATAGAATGCGAAAGAATCATGCGATCGGAAATTGGTTATAGCAATGGCACCCGCAAGTGGGAGACCAATGGGAGGCCACTTTCCGGTGTGATATGGAGGCAGGTTAATATTCTATGTTCTGAGATATTGGAAAAGTTAGGTGAAGCCTTGAGAATCATTTATTTGTGGTTACTTAAGGCTCTTGTCCGAAGTTGTCGAAGGCTAGGCATGTTCTACTATCCGACAATTCTTGTCAAGTATGAGGATGCTGACTTGGGTACGTTTATCTGGGTGGGGATTGAGGAAATTGAACAGTTTAATACAACCCTTGCACAAGGCTTGTGGGAAGGCAAGCAACTTCAATATAAGAAGTGGAAGCCATGGAGATATTGATACAGTACAGTCTGTGCTAGCTGCAGATGAACTTCTGTTCCCTTTGCCAAGCAACTTTCCTTTGTGGAATGCTGTTAACACAGATGAATGGATGGCTGTTGGGAGGGACGAAGAGCTGGTTTCTCATGACGATGACTGCCGGGAGAACTGAATTTGAGAGATGGGAGCACTCTTCCAGCTGTGAGTTGAACGATGTGAGATTGCGGAAGCCATCAGGGACTCTATGCGCCCGATTCAAAGCGAAAATCTGCAGTTGCTCTCCTCGGAAAAAAGATGTGTAGTAGAGAAGGCCAAGTTCAAGATCAAGAAAGATCTCAGCTGAGGAGGTGAGGGGCTGTGGGAGCCACACTGCGCTGTCAAGACAGCCGGGGCAAAACGGGTCTCTCGCATATGTACAATAGTTGTAATCAGTGCATTTGTTTCAAGTCCATACCAGGAGTTTAACAGTTCACGTACCGACAGGTCTTGTGTACAAGTGAGACCTCCGCAGTGTTGGGCGGAATTTTTGTACCTCCACATAGAAGGCGAGTGTAGGTAACCATTGGAGAGGTTCCAATTGTAAATGCGCGAATTTACATGTCTTGATAGGTATGATTGCCTCATAAAAGGAAAGCGAATCACCTTCTGCCCAGACTGCCCATCAGATACGGAAGATCACTAAGTGAACTCTATCAAATCAATAGTTGTCAATAGCGATGCAGCATTGATCCACCATTTCCCATGAAGGATAATGATTCCCATGTAATTGTGTGAGCCTAGTTCTCATTATTCTCTTCATCACTATCGAAGACTTCCGAATCGTCATCATCTTCCTCTTCTTCCGCCTCTTGATAATCCTCATCTTCTTCCTCATCCTCTCCCATGGCGGCATCCAGATCCAAAACCTCATACCGCATAAAATCCCCATACAAAACACAAATGGCGCGTCGTCCCTTTCGCCCATTGACATCGACATGCACAGGTCGCGCTTTAGGGCCATGGAGAGCAAAGATATGTATGAGGACTCTCGCGTGAGGGGATTCAGCTGAGAGATCTAGTGTCGTAGTCGGTATAATCGGTATGGGGGCGGATGGCGTGCTGTCACATTCAATGTACTCAAGGACCAGAGGAGAGGGGTCCGTTATCTCGTTATGAGGTTGTGTTGATGCGGGCTGGAAGGGAAAGTTGAGGAGATGGGAGGATCCTCCTTTTTAGATAGATTGTGAGATTGTGCATATAGAAATAGGGATGGGACAAGTTGATGGGTGAGGGACTTACTGTTGTCGCGCCAGAGAACCATGAGTGAATCGTCGTTGACGAATTGCAGTTGGCGGACTTCGCCGTTTTGGAGATCGATGGTTGCGAGAGATGTACTTCTTGTTGAGCTGACCCCGCCGACTGATTTGAGGACGACACGGTAGAGATACACTAGTTATGAGGGGTATAAGCAGTTGAATTTTGAAGAGTTACTGTATGACGAACCTTTCTGTTTTGATGTGACTGATCGTGTCGCGACGTATATCGAGCAAGGCTGGTCTTCCACGGCATCCTGTGGCGCAAGTAAGTTTTTGGAACCAGATGAAATGCAATAGTTTCGGACTCACCTCGTAGCAGAAAGTAAGATCAATAACCTCTTGGTCGCAATCAGAGTGAAGCGTCAAAGGCGAGCGATGGAGAATTCCCCTGCGCTGAGTCAAGGCAATCTCCCCAAAGACCTTTTCAAACTGGATGCCTAGACGCCTCGTCAAGTCATTCAGCTTAGGCGTATCGACCGATGTACCATCACCGCCCTTGTCCCGAGACTCGCGTTGCTGCTGAAGAAGTGACTTGAAAGTATCGAAGAACGAGCTTTCGTGGCCACCCGGGAGCCACTTATCAGTGGGAGGTGCAGGGGGCTGAACAACTCCGATCATAGGAAGCTGGCGGATGAAGTTCCGCAGAGCACTTTTGGTCAACGCGCCCTTGATGTACTTGACAGTAGGAGGGACATCGAACAAGTCTCTCTTCTCCTGCAGCTCCTCGAGTGTCTGCGACAAGGGCTCGCTGTTTAGAACGTAAATTTCGTGACGAAGCCACCTAGAGAAAGCAGCAAATTGACCCAGTTCTTCGTTGGCATGCGTGAGAACACGGTGCGCAAGAAGATGGAGGCAATCAAGTGTCTCTACGATAGCATTGAGCTTGGTCGTGTCCAGTCCAAGAACATCACTTAGCTTGTGGAATTTAGACAATCCAAGCAGTCGACTGAGAAGCACTTGACTGCGTTCCAAAGCTGGGAGGAGACATTCGTGTGTTAGTCGCCGGATGTTCTCGTAGCCGCCGGAGACAGCCTTATCCCATCTCTTGTGGCCCTATGTCGTTTATTAGCACATCGTCTCCTAAAGCGCAAGGCGCACACACTCTTTCTCCAACTATATCCGTGAGGAACTCTTTCATCGGCTCAAAGCAATGACCAGTAACCACCAAGTGATAAATAGCAGTGATAAAATCACACTGGCATTTTTCCTTCAATTCCTCGTTGACACTACGCAAGAACCGCGCAGGAAGTTCCTGGGCATTCTTCCACTCGAGCTCAATCTGTCGCTGCACCTGGCCAATATAGCGCAGCAAATTCTGAAGCTGTGTAGTCTTCGACGCAAGAAGAGACAGATATCTCCCAGACTTCGTTATAAAGCGAAGATCCATCGTAACAAGCTCAAGCGGACCACGAGCATCACCCTTAGCCGGCGAGACCAACAGAGCATGCGTAGAGCTCAATGGGTGTGATGCATGCCGCAAGATACGGCACGAGTCGGAGATACCAGGGGAGCTTCCTATAGGGAAAGAGCCAATCTCAAAACAATCAAAGATGCGCAGGTGGACAGTACCATCGTCGAATCCGACGGAGAGCACATCAACCGAGTCGTTGCTATCCTTCGAAGAATGGAAGATGGCATCGAGGGACGCCCGCGAGCTAAAGACATCGTCCTCGCCTCCTGTTGCAGGCAGGGTGCTCAGCTTGGGTAGCGAGCTCTCAATGTCTAGCAAGGCAAGCTCCCGGGGCAAATCAGCTTTGAGCATGATGGCTGCTTTGGAGGGATATGCTCCCGGGGCTAATAGGTCTTCAATGGAGACCTGGCCCGCGGATTCATGCAAATGCCGCTGTGCAGCTTTGCTATCGGTGAAATTGACACCCCAACCAACGCACGTTGCCTTGGGTGCTGGGTTCTCGGTGGGATTAGAGTGCTCCTCTTTCTGCTGATAGGTCTGGTAGTGGTGCACCGTTTTCCCGGTGTACGAACTGATGATGCGGAGCGAGCCATCTCCACATGCGACAGCGAGGAGGCGACCTGGTGTAGCATTAGTAAATGATCGCGCGTGGAATCATTCAACAAGACCCTTAGAATCCGAAACCAAAAAATCGCAAAAACCAGCGACAAGGAAATTCAAACTCACCATTCCCCTTCCACGCCATCCCTCTAATTTCGCCATCTTCTTCATCCTCGCCTAGGTACGGATCTCCACCAAAAGAACCCCCGAACACTCGCTGTCCATTAAGTCGGAACACGCGTAATTCCTCGTCCTCGGTCGCCAGTGCTATCAGGTCCATTGTGGGACAGTACGCCACGGCCTGCGCCTTGCATTTTGCTGGTAGGGATTTCTCCCCGACAGGTGTCAGTTGGGGGCCATCAACACCCATTGTGGATTTTTCTATCTCAAGACAAATAACAAATTCAGCCCATGCTTATTTCGGGAATAACAAGGTTCAAAAACGGAAGTGTGTCGCTGTTCTTTTTGACCGAAGCTGTTGATCGTGGGTGGTGGATACAGAGGGATTGATTCTTGGCGCGTGTGTTTTGGTGTTTGGTCCGATCTACTGGTATGGGATTTACCAACGTCACTCTGCAATTTGCGTCGATTTGCTTCTGTCATCTACTAGGCTAATTGACACTATACCTTGGAGACCTGTAAATCTTTTTTGTGTTCTCTTTGATCTGATTTCATCTCTATTGAGAGCTAAATGATACAGGTGCGGAGTACAAACCTCCAATGCCGGTGACCAGCGCCAGCAATATGATGATGAGAGCAAAAGAAGTAGAAGACGAGACAAATTTCCTGAAGGGGGAGTCTCTCATTAAAATGGAGCCCCATCCATATCAGCCTGGATCAGATTCTTCAGATAACTAAGCTCATCTATCAACTCCTTCATGGTAGCATTCTCCTGGAACGAGGCATTGCTCCGACAGGAGCGAATGCGCTCGAGAGAAGTCTCGCTCACTTTACGCTCTGTGGCAAAGATATTTTGCTCCGTGTCAGAGCCTCTGGAGGCTTGGGGGAGGAGGATCGGGGAGCCATTGGGACTGCACGACATCGCGAGGGCTTCCATGGATTCAAGGGCGCTAAATAGGGCAGCGTGGCGCTTGGGATTGCTTTCCACTTCATCGAAATTTTCTATGCCCAGCCCAGAACAGTCAAAGCCAGGCGAGGACAGGGAGAGTGTGAGTTGAGGGAGACCGACACTCCAGGGAGGGAGCTCTCCGGATGCTGAGTTCGGAGACGAGAGTTTGGAGTAGACAGTGAGGTGAGGGGTGTTTGGGTCGGTATTAGTTGCGCCATCCCCGGACTGCGAGAGGTCTGGTGTTCTCCATCTTTCGGCTGAAGACTCGTCCTGGTGGTGGCGGGATGTGGAGACCGATACTGTCGATTCCTGCGGGCTATAGTCGGTTTCGGTGTCGGTGCTCCATTCAGAGAAGCGACTGTATTCAGGCACGAAGTGGGAGTGGGAAGAGTCGACTGTTGTTGTTGTTGTTGTTGTTGTTGTTGTTGTCATGCTGGAGAAATAACTGCGCGGGATCTCGCCATCCATCGCTTTGTCCCTTTCGTCGATAGCGCGAACTGCTTCATCCATGACTGAAGATGGCGTGTTTGGGAGTGTAGGGAGCCTCTTTTCTTTGGTAAATGCAGCAGTTGGCGTGGGCAAGTCACCAGAGTTAGGGATATCTTTCAGGGCTTCCCTGAACGCACGATTTTCGTCATGTGTCGCGGTGTTTCCGTTTGCTGCGCCGCGAGAAGAACCGGGTTTGCGGGGCTCCGGGCGTGTCTGCACTGTGAGAAGACGATCCGGTGCCGTTTCCCCAGCGGCTGCCTTCATCGCGCGACGACTTTGAATGGTGGACGGTCCAAGTCTGTCAGGAGAGCTCAAGAATGGAATTGCGATTCCAGCGTTGACCTTGATTCTTGGGATATTGCTGAAATTCTCAATAGGCTCATTTTGCCGCGGTGTCATCTTTGGAGCATTCAATGGTTGCACTGGCTCGAACTTTCTATCCACATCAGCAGGTTGCCTTAAAGCAGCCAGAAGCGCTCGAGCTCTCGGGGGAGACATAGAACGTGAATCTCTCTTGTGGCCTTTACAAGTGGCACTGGGCGGCTGAGATGCACTCCGATGAATTCCGGCCATCGGAGATCTACTCGAAGAGTGTGCAGGGCTCGGTTCGCGGCCTATCGGTGCAGATGTCTGAAGACGCACGGGTTGGGGCTGGGGCGGCGGCTTCCGCGGGTTCATAAACTTGTCTTCGGGGTGCATGGTCCGAAGATGTTCCGATCTTTGGGAGCTGCCACTCACTGAGCGTCCATGCGCGCGACTGTCGGGTAAAATAATAGGGACGTTCAACACATTCATGGGCTGCCCTGGAAGAAGTGGGCACATGGTGGTCGTTGGTTCTGCCTCGTTATAGTATTCTGTATCATTATCGAGCAAATACTGTTTTTCTCGTTAGCTCTTTCATCTCACATGCGTGAACATGAGCCTCACATAATACCAGTAAGTACCGCCCATCTTCAGACCTCCTGTTCGCCATTGGGTCTGTTCTGGTCCACCGCCTATCATATCGGTAAATGTATGACATCCTCTCCAGTGTCCGGGTCCGACTCGCGTATCTCTTTCCATCACATATTGCTTAGAGAAATTGTCCCATGATCCGAGCAGCTTGACCGACCGGATCTCCGGCTTTGTGGTCCTGAATCTTCGTCAGCTCATGGAGATATTAACTGCACTTAGCGTACTCACAGCAAAAAAGTTATAAGGGTAGTAGAGATCATCGCAAGGTCAGACAGCAACAAGAATACCAGGAAAGAGAGACCACTGAGCAAAGCTGGTGATAGTACAGATAAAAAAAAGAATGAATCGGAGTAAGGAAATGCACAGCAAAAGAACAAATGACAAAAGAAAAAGCTAAAAGACCGAACCCCAGTATAACACACGCAAATGCCAGGCAACAAAAAGACAGTGGTATATAGAGGTCAAGAAAAGGGACTTGAGCCGGAAGCCCGAGCTTATATAACAAGCCGGAGCTCACAGAAATAAAGCCAACTCCACACAGACGGGTCTGTAATTACAGCGGGGAATTGGAAGCACACCACGCTGTACCTGTTTCAGAATTGAGAGACAGGTCTAAGAATAAACGGTTCGTTTCAGGTGGATTCGGGGCTACGCCGCAGACAATCACCACCATGCCATGGCCTGGACACACTGGACCCAAACCAAATCACCATCAAATGGGCTGATGCTTCAAGAATCACAATGGTGTAATTTCCCCAGCGCAGCGCAGAGCGATAATATTGGCCAATGAGGAGCGGAAGAAGGAAGCGCCAGCCACTTGGCTTGGAAATGTTTCCTGCGTAGGGGAGTCCGGCGCTAAGAGGCCTCTTAGCGCTGCAGGTTGGAATGTTGAAACAGGGGGAAGATGAAAGAGAGATCGAACCCGTATAACTGGTAGAATACAGTTCAGCCTTCTGAAGGTGAAGAAAATCAAGTGAGAAGGATAAGAAGCGAATTCGAGGTTTTTTAAGAGATCAGCGCGGGGAGGACTTTTGGAAGATCACCAAAATTGGCGGTGATGCGGAGTGGAGCTGGGAGTGTTCAATCATCAGTGCTGATCTACTTCAAGTCGACCGTATTAGAATTGCATTACAAGAAAAAGAAAGAGAAAGGACAGAATGTGATCTCCGATTCTCACAGAACACGGTGTGGCTTGCGGTCCTCCGATGCTGCCCGTCATCGTGGTTCGTCGATCCCCCATGCAAGGTACAAGCACGCCCACTGAGATTAGTTAGATCTAGTAGATTGTTTTCAATCTCGATCATTAGTTGGAGGGGTGTGACGAACATTCACGTTGATCTGGAGTTGAGTCGATTCTCTGTACCATTGTCGATGTCAGTTCGCAGCTGCAAGGGCCCCAAGCTCTGATAGCGAATCACCGGGTTGTTCCCATTGGCCCTGGAGATTAAATAGAACCGAGCTATCAGGGACACGTCTGAGAATTCTCCACCTCGGCGGTTCCTGAGAGAAATCTTGGATATGTCATTTTCCGAGTTGGTCACAATAATGCGATTGGAAGAGAAGTTCCCCGTACTCCCTACAGCAAATAGAGGAAATATAACATGTACTTCGTAGCATCAGATTGAACAATTCTAAGCCTAAATATCGAACCCCGAAAAACTTCAAACCCCCGTAAATACCTAACACTCCCAATCTCGATCCAACCTCTTGTGAACGGCTCCAAGCACAGTCTTTAAAATCCCATACCCATCCAAGCATTCTCCAGCCCGATTTCTCCAAGGAACAGTATCAACAATATCTCTTAGATGTAAGGCATGGCACCGACTCCCAAGGTCTTTATCCAAAACCTCCAAGTACTGCCGAGCCATCTCATCATTCCCAATCTGAAAGAACTGAATCCCAACCTGCCATGGAATAGCACGACAAGAAGGTCCATCCAGTACCTGAGCCGTCTTAATGATAACGCTCTCCGCATCATCCGTAAACACCCCATCGGTAATTGTGATGATATTGATCGGCTTAACCAACAAGCCCGGGCCAGATGGGCCCTTTTGCGCTCGCCTCTCTGCCTCCTTTGCTTCCACCAACTTGGTATATGGGTCCAAAATTTCAAACAGACGACGACCAACTCCTGTTCCGCCAGAGGGTCTGACGGAGGAGAAGATCTCGCTCACACGTTGCGCGGTCCTGATGTTGTGATATCCACCGGCATCGAGTTTGGGGCATCGGCTGGGGCTGTAATTATAATTCAAGTTGGTGTTGGACTTGGACCGGTGATTGATAAAGTAGATGTCGATTCCCTCACTGTCGTATTTGGTGCAGACTGGCGTGATCGCTGCGAGGGCATCTTTGGCTTCGTTCCAAAGTTCGCCCCTCATGCTAGAGCTATCGTCTACCAAAAAGATTGTGTGAAATGTACCGAGGAAGGCGTACTGAGAATCGGGTTCCGGCTCTTCGGGAGCGCTGATTCTGATTGTGGGGATCACTGCGTCCACGTACGGTGGTGGAAGATTTGACGGCTGCTCTCCTAGGATGTTCGATGTATTGGAGCTATTGATGCGGCCTCGGGGCCATGATGGAAAATGTGCTGGTGTGATCACAGTGGTTCTTGCTATGGTGGATATCTCTGCTTTGCGGTCTTTGTGCTCTTTGCGCTCTTTGCGCTCTTTCCGATGGTTGGATGAGAGAGAGTGCCATAGAGATGTCTTTTCATGAGTGCCCATAGCGGGATATTGCATAAGTTGTAGATGAGTGCAGACGAGGACTATTTGCCTACTTAATTTTCAGTATCCTAGAGGCTATTCGAATGTCTTGAAATGGTTTAATCCAGACAAAGGATTTGAGCCAGGGAATACCTTCTTTATACCTAGGTATTTACGTCTGACATCTATAAGGGTCTCGGCTGTGAACCTCAGTATTCAAAGAATGGGTAGGATATGGCAGAGATGCTTGGACCAAGGCACACGTCTAACCAACAAGGATCCACCCCAAACACATGGTCAAGACACAAGTTTTTCAATCTCACAGTTAGCCCCCAAAGTATGTGTATGGCACAAAATGCTATCATGCATCACAAGGCATATATGTAGTTCACCTGCTGCGGCCCCAATGTAAATGATTGACATGGATCTTGAGGGGCAATGTTGCTCATTTGTGGATAAGCCCCCACCTTGGGAGACCCGGGCCACAGCTAGATAAAGTAAAGTCATTGAGCTTCAGTGTTACGTTTGAACTTCACCAATCATCCAAGTACCATTTCGGAGAGTTGGGAAACCACAGACAGGGTCCTTTGTAACTACTAGGGGCGGAGCAAACACAGCCCCACAGATGCAATCCTGGTGCACAGGGCGCACCGTAGTCTACTTCGGATGAACTGACTCCATTGTTACGGTTCTTTCGAGAAACTTTTTTTAGAAGCTGTGATCGACTTTGACAGAGGCTCTGATGTTTTTCTCTTTAATTTTTTTCTTTGTGACACGTCGTGAGTCATGATGAGATTCACAACAGAAGGTGCCCTAATCCGAACTATAACACAAAAGAAAATACACAAGTAAATAGACGTGTGTTAACGCTTTTAACATGGCGTAAGAAAAAAAAGAGAAAGAAAAGAAAAAAATAACTACATCAGTCGCTTGCCCCAAGACAAGTATCTCCCTAATGGGCTGATTGAACTACATTTCTCTCGCCAGATCAGGCGCACTGAACACTTCAGGAGTGTCTGCTTCGGTGACAGAAAGTAAAATTCCAGGATCAGCAGCGACTATATCCGCCACTGCCAATGCCAGGTCAATGCCTATTGAGTTTCCAATCATTTCCAGACACTTGACCACCCAGCGGCGCAGCCTATGTTGGGGGCTCTCAACAATCCCGGCGACAAACAGATGCCATAGGAGCACTAGACCCCCAATGTAACTTTCAGGTGGCGGGATATTAGACTCCTTATCTACCAGGTGGACGTTGAAATGAAATGGAACACTGCGACAGATCTCCACGGCCAACCGCCGGGTCGTTAATCGCAGCGTCCTGCATTGGACATGAAACTCTTCAGATAGCAAGGCCGAAGAGGAACTGTCGGATAGTTTTCGGACATGGGTAAGTATGATTTCGCCGACCAAGATTCGTGCGCTGCGGTATTGGTTCCACAAACTGCAAACCCAGAGGGAGGGGTACACGTGGTAGTGATCGTCGTAGGGCGATATACCTCGGAATTGCTTTTGGATGGCAAAGTCAAAGGGGGAGCTTATATGGGTGGTGTAGATAAGTTCGGGAGGAAGAGCTGCTAGCCAGGCAATTAAATTGGCTTCGATGGCCAACGCTGTTGTTAGGATTTCCCGCTCATTTTTATACTCATTGATGCGGATGTCTGCGCGAAGGTTCGATAGTTTGCCAATTATCATAACTAGTCGATTGCCGTGAGCTTGTGCTGGGTCAAGAAACATCGCGATTTCTGTGCAGTGGAGTAGCGATTCAGGCACTCGTTCGTCTCGTTGTAGGCAACTGATGATCTGTTAGGGAGTTAGCTTGAGATTGAAGGAGCGATTGACGACGCTCACAATCCGATACTGAAGATACAAAAAAAAGTGAAGACCGGCGTTGGTCTTAAGTTGATCAGTGCCCCGTAAATCGAGCAGGGCTGTTGCCCCATTGATATGGTTAGTCCAACCGTCAATATTTTCCGGGGCTCTTGATGTGATAATCTATAAGGCAGAGCGTCAGCGACAACCATCTGAGAGGACAAGAATGCAAAATCGCATACTTCGTATACGGCAAGCAGTGCGACAGCACTTAAAGTTTGAATTGTTTTCGCCTCCTCTATGTCGGCTAGAGAGGCATTAAGCAATCTCAAAGCGGATCCATACTCCCAATGGGCTACATCTTTAAGCGATGGTATCCCTCTTACTCGCGAGAGCATAGCCGTGGCAGTAGCAACCACACATGCCCTCATAGCTCTCTGACTCGTAGAGCCCCCGTTTTGCAAAAAAAAGGTGGAGATCATCTCACTAGTCCAGAAACTGCTGGGGATGGCATTGGATCGCAGGAGATAACAGACTGCTTCATACTTGGTGGCTTCGAGCTCATGTGACGGCTGGACCTCCAACGGGTAATTTCTGAGCTGTCGCATCAAGTAGACATGCTGTGGATCAGAGTTGAAATCAAAGTCTTGCTCCACCGGGAAACTGAGCCTAGACCGCAGAGTGTTCCCTTCTGGGATTGCAGTGCGACGCGACCGCTCTGCTTGTTTGTTCTTATGTGTCAAAGCCGCAACCGCCTTTCGGATTACTGATTTGCTTTCGTCACGAAACATTAACGCCAGCTGATCTCGATATCCGGGACAGTCCCGCTTGGCCCTGGTGCATTGTGAACAGGCCGGTTGGGCTTGGTCACACCGAATCTTCCTGGACCTGCACTCGCCACATCCTTTGCTTGGCTTGCCACAATATACCATATTCTGCACTTGATAAAGTATTGTACACTGTCCACGACTAGAAAAAAGAAGGAAGTGGTAAAGAAGATGTTGCTCAGCCCCGCGTTGTCTGGACGGCGCTTAACCGCTTCGGGTATGCTTTGCGAACCAACCCTTTCCATGTCGATCTTCCACATACTTCCCACAGGGTTGCCTTGGAGATACATAGTAAAAGATCTGATTTGGCCAGTAAACAAAAGGTGTGGGGGATAAGCTAGAACTAAAATCACCTCAGGCTTGTATCTGGGGCAATAAGAGGTGCCATATAATTTATATCCTTGACTGTCATGCTCCGAAACTGCGACCAGGTGTCCCTATGTTGTACTCAGCCTAGTTTATAATTTACACCTCATTGTGTGATATGACGATTGATCCCAGCAATGTGTCGGATTTAGATATTGATGACGAATTAGCTCTGATCATCATGTGAATTAGTGCAGCGAGCGAGAGCGAATGGCATTCACAACATGCCCTCAATTGATGTAGACTCCACCTAGCTGTAAAAGTATATACTGCATGAGTGCGGCCTTAACGACAGGAGATCTTAATGATCCCCAGGCCGATATTGAGGATTTTTGGTGGCTTTTTTTTTAAGAGGTCCTCTACAAAAGTGCTAAAAAGTGTAAACCATGCCGGGGAAATTTTCCGTGTATAATCAGGGATTGGATTGTTTTTCTGTTGCTCTTCATCCTCTAGGTCTTACACTTATCCAAAAAGCACGACAGAAAGGCTTATAACATGGATTTCCTTTTTTGTTGCATTTAACGTCGTAATCTCAAGACGCATCCATCTGTAGATACTTGCAGATATCATCCTGCTCGCTTTGGTGGAGACTCAATCTGAGCATCGTCCTGGTTCACCCGCTTCTTGTTTCTCCTAAAGTGTCCGCTGGAGTCCGAATCCTGTTGTAGAAACCCACCTGTACCGGTTCCATCATCATGCCATTCGCTAAATTCCCACTGGACTGAAGTCGATTGTTCAACACTGCGTCCCATGCCACGCTGGGCACGCATCAAACGACCTAAACGGCTCCCTTCTACCATCTCTTCAAACCAAGGGATCCCCCCAGTTCTGCCGTGCTGTAGACTCCTTGAAATATCCGCAAAATCCTTAGATAGCGGAGCAATTGCCGAAGATGAAGCGGTTTCGGAGGCTGGCGCTATCTCGGATGAGGTGAAGATACCTGCGGGGGGAGTTTCCTCGTCAAAGTCCCGAGGAAGCAATCCTAGATCATCCAATGCGCGTTGGTCATCCACTAGCAGACTTCCAATCGTGACAGACAGGAAGTTAGACTCTTCGAGGGGCTCCTCTGTCCAGAATGTCAAGGGTGTACCGCAGTAGCCACAGAAGACACGCTGGGTTTGAGGTGCATGGCGGGGCGAATGAATGCGGCGAATAGAAGAGTGTGATTCATCTGGGAAGAAGGACCGAGTGTGGGATTGGTACCAACCAAGAGGCACTCTTAGCCACGCCGAAAGAGGTGTGCCGTGAAATCGACCTAGGGTTCGAGATCAGCCGGGGGATCGACAAGCTTCACTTGGATATACCCACGATTGTCTCGGCTGCTGTCGAAGTACACTTCGGCGTGAGTTGTTACATCATCCGGGATATGAATTTGGTATTCGTTTCGGCCACAAGAGCATGAGCCGCGGAGCGGATTGAAGGCCATGGTAGTACAAGAGCTACCACGGCGTTGGTAACTTCGCAAGGTTTGGGGCTAGATAGATGGTTATAGATTGGAGATTAGCGACCTGACACTCGTTTTGTCTGCAATAAATCTCAATAGAGAGGGGTGGTAATCTTAGATAGCAAATTGGACTAGGATCATCCAGAACGCGAAAGCAAAATTGATATGAAAAAAAAGAAAAAGCAAGTGTTCTGTGGACTCGCTCTATGACGTTTAGAGGTTGCCAAGGCCCGTTCCCGGCCTCCAGGTTTACACTCCGCAATGGCCGTTGGCCTTATCGCTTCCTATCGCCCTCCCGCGTCTCTCGGCTTCCTCTCTCTCCCTTCCAAATTCTCCTATTGCCTACCGATTACAGTCGCCTCCCCCCTCTATGCCTTACCTCTTCGAACACTCAGAACAATAGTGTTAGCCATCCAAGCCATCCAATCGAAACTGCGAGCCCCGAACCCTGCATACCCTCGGCGCATCTACCCTACGCCCTCAGTTTCTCTCAAAATCCTCCAGTCATCAAGCACCACGATGAATCCAGAGGATGACCACGATCGGTCGTCCTCGACACCAAATGGGACATCTAAGCAGGGATTAGCCCAGGACAAGGACAAACCTCGTCTTACCGATCAAGAAAAAAAAAGCAATCACATTGCCTCGGAGCAAAAGCGACGCGCAGCCATTCGCGAAGGCTTCGATCGCCTGACAGAACTGGTGCCCGGTCTAGAGGGACAGGGCCGGAGTGAGAGCATTGTTCTGCAGAAGACCGTGGATTTTATCCATGTGAAGCTACAAGAACGTCACGATCTTATCGCAGAGATCGAGAGCAAAGGCGGCCGAGTGGACGACTCTTTCCGCCCAACGTGATCCTATTTCTCCCGGCATCTCATGGAGCTTTGAATCGGTATCCTGCGGCCTTTGTTCTCCTCCGCTGGTCAATACGAGGGTTCTGGGGCTGCAGTCCGAGCGATTCTTCTCAAATCTTGGACTACATAACTCTATACCCACACTAATGCTTTCTTTTTCTTGTCTATCTATTTGACCCCTACATTACGAACGAGATCTTGAAAATGATCAATTGCAGAGCATCCTCGTTGCCTCACAGATCTGGTCTCCACATATGATTTTGATGTCTATCACGCATCCTCCACCGCATTTAGTGGAGTGAACGACTATCAATACGATGCCACACACTTTCTGCTCCTAGTCTTCCTACTAATTTTGACTATTGTACATTGAAGCTTTTTGCCTGTTTTGTTTCTGCTCCTATGTACCAGAATGTACATGGTCACGGCTGTTGCTGCGAAGCAACCGGGCGTTTTATCTTTCCCAATGGCTAGCCTGAGATCAAGTTCTTTTCAGCTCTGACTGAGCACCCGTATTGCCATGCTCGTTTCTAATCAAAACCAGAATTGTTTGGCCGAGCTGTACTTAGGTCGCATCACGTGAACAGAGCTACGGAGAATAATTGCAGTCATGCAGTTTCTAGGTAGCCAACCAGATTGTGAGAATATGTCCTGTGTGTTCGGGCAGTTAGACCAAGTAGTTAATCAATGCAGCGGTGGCGAAAGTGGTATCTGAACATGGACTGCACATGTATTTTAGGGGTCGCAACAGCCATTACATCGAGAGATACCAGAGAGCTTCGGCTTACCGCCTGGCATCTGCCTGAGAAACCGAGCCCCTTCAAGTTGAAGCTGACGCAGACTATACACTCTACACAACCGCAACATTCAAGAATTTGAACACTCAGGATCCTCAATTGAATATCTTTGCACACCCTTGCAGGATCAATCGACTGCACACAAAGACCAGTTGCCTCGAAAAACGAACGGAAAGAGCACCTGATTCCCCGCAGCGCCTCGCTGCCCGCAATTCCCAAAACCCACGTCCAAAACACCGGACAAACGCCAAATCACCCAACATGACAGACTCCAAAGAAGCCTTTCTGTCCCACATAGAAGAATTTGACACCACTGAGTCCGACCCACCCCCAGCCTACGAAACACCTCTCTTGAAAGTTAACCGCGGGGCACCTCTTCCACGCCCGCCACCCCTCGATCTCCCAGTCCTGAACAGCCTCCGCAGCCAGCGCGTAATCCTCGCCTCGCAGTCACCACGCCGAAAGCAAATAATCTCCTTCCTGGGCCTCCCGAACATAGAAATCATTCCCTCGAACGCCTCAGAAGATCTACCAAAAAGCCTAAGCCCATTCGAGTATGTGCTAGCAACAGCAACGAAAAAGGCCCATGCTGTCTATGAAAAAGAAACCAACGACGAGACCAAGAGAGAGCCAGCCTTAATCCTAGCCGCAGACACGGTCGTCGTCGACCCGTCCACCGGCTCGATCCTCGAAAAGCCTCGCTCCGAAGCACACCACATGGCTATGCTGCGCTCGCTACGTGATGCCCGAAACCACAAGGTCTATACGGCGCTTGTGGCTATGGCTCCTTTGGCTAGTGCGCGGGACCCGGGGTATGCCATTGAGAGTACCGTTGAGGAGACATCGGTGCGGTTTGATATCGATGTTACGGATGAGTTGATTATGGCTTATGTGCGTACGCGTGAGGGCGCGGATAAAGCCGGTGGCTATGGGTTGCAGGGGCTTGGGTCTATTCTTGTTGAGAAGATTGATGGCAGTTATGACAATGTGATTGGGTTGCCGCTCAAGGCGACGCTCAGAGTTATTGAAACTGTCATGCTGAAGGCGGATGATGACAAGGGGCTGCCTGGGGATGGCGAGGAGAGTGAGGATGAGGAATGAAGGGGTTGTCAGGATGAGGGTTTATGATGTCTTGTCTGTCTTTCTCTTTGTATCATCATGCCTCTGTGAAAGATAGAACAAAAAGGATTAGGACTCAGATGATGGGTGAGTGGGAAAACCGTGATCGATGTATATCCTACCAATAGAGTACCGTGTAGATAGTGCAGGGAGAGTCTGACTGCAGATCTACGTTATGTACAGAAAGAAACCAAAAACCAAGAGTGTCTTCTCGTACAAGGGTTACTTTCCGATCTTTTTTCTGTCGCTTAGAAACAACCCGAACAGCAGGAATCCGGCACCAATCAATCGATTTGGCCTGAGAGACAAAGGAAAAACAATCAGCGACATATACAGAGGCGGAACGGAACGCCTGGGTAGACCAGAATCAAATCGGTAATCAGGGGGAGAAAAGGAAAAAGAAAGACTTCATGTCTGGAAAAAACAAAAGAACCACAGCAGCACTCTATGCCGTCCAGATACGACGCAGAGCCTCAGTCACACCGACGTCGTTCGTCTCAAATTCATATAGGCCAACGGCGGTGGTGAGTGTGAATGCGCGCAGGAGCCAGTTACAGGTGGTGCGGAATTTGGGCACACGGGAAGGAGGGAAGTAATCGACAATGGCGGCCCTGGGTAGAAAGATGTTAGATAAAGATTTCCGGAAGATCTGGGGTAGATCTGAGGGGAATGGCGGGATAACGTGGGGAGGCTCTTACTGGAATCCAATGTGCGAGTGGGCGACAATCAGAGAGCACAGGATGGCGTCCATGACGGGGTTGAGGGAGCCAGCGGCGAAGGGAGCGAAGGTGAGAGGGACCAGACCGACGCAGACCAGTCTGAGAAAGATGTTAGTCGGTGTTTTCTCCACGCATGCCGAGGTTATCGGAAAATGTTGCATTGATCGGCATTGTAGTGTGCAAAGGGTAGTACAAACCTCTCAAAAGACCAGTGGTAGCTGCCCTCGGAAGGGTGGGTTGCAGGAATGGGAGCAGGGTCGTTCACTGTCCAGATAGGTTAATATCAAGGGCCTCAGGGAGAGCGGTTTTGCGATTCGATGGGAGGCTTTTTTTTTGGCGCGCTGAGAGCAACGGAGACTGACTATCTCCGCAAAATCCAGGCAGTTTCGTACTTAATGCTATCAAAAAGCGAGGGGAGGGTCGAAATAGGAAGGGCGTGGAAATCACATACTGGTTCCCTGAATAGACTCTGTATCGCGAAAATCAGGTTAGCAACTGCTCCTACGCCACACTCAATAGATCTCCCCCTTGGCAATTTGTCAAAATGTCAACAAACGTCATGGCAGGCTTCTACTTACGGGGCAACGGAGGCAGGATCTGCTTCTTAGCGGAGGCGTGGAAAGCGACGACCTGCGACACGCCGACATTTTTCTGAAGGAAAGGCGCCCGGGAGGCGAGAGTCTGTCGCAGCAGAGTTGAGCGTCCGAGTGAAGCCATTGTGAGTGGAGAGTATGATTGTGAAGAAGCAGAAACACCGTTCGAACACAAGCGGATGAAGTTGGAGGCCTCGGGAGTCCGACTCGGTATGTCATCCTTTTATGGGCTCTTTGATTGGTCCATGGCTGTTCCGCCCAGCCGAAATTGGCCGATGGCCCTTGTGAGAAACATTTAGCCCTACAGTTACCATCTTCCCTTCTATTTTTGTAGCATATAGGTTGTAGAGTTGTTGGTTACAGACTAATTTGTAATTGGAAGTTCGTCTTCTATTAGGTGTAACGTTGGTTCGATTTGACTATTTTGAGAGATATTTGTTGAACGAAATACAGCGTACTTTTCCACTAGACCATAACAAAAACCAAGGTTCCTGTTTATGGCCTAGGGAGGCCGTATTTTGAGGTTTGCCAATATTCATTATATCCCTACATTCATGTACTAAAGAATCCTAACCGAGGTGTTGAATGCATCCAATGTTTCAACAAAGAGTCAATGCGCCATGCATCTCGTTATTTCATGAGTCTCGTAAAAACACTTAGAACTTCAGGACAGCCTTGCCCAAGTTCTTGCCGTAGAAGATGCCAACTAAGCCCTCGGCAGCGTTGTCAATGCCAACAGTTTCGTGGATGAGCACCTTGAACGAGCCATCCTTGATCCACTTCTGCACTTTCTCCTGGTGTTCCTTGGAGTAAACATCGGCAAAGCCCTTGTCAGTGACGATGAAGCCGCGCATAGTAATACGCTTGACGAGGACATTGTTGATTTTCTTGATGGGGTAAGGGTCAGAGTTGTACTGGGAGATCAGACCGCAGACAACAACACGACCGAAGTTGTTCATGGCATCAAGGGCGGCATCGAGGTGCTCTCCACCGACGTTCTCGTAGTAAATGTCAATACCCTCGGGAGCGAGGCGAGCAAGAGCATCGGCGGGCTTCTCGGTCTTGTAGTTGAAGCCGCCGTCGAAGTTGAGAGTCTTGGTGATGTACTCGAGCTTCTCGTCCGAGCCGACGGATCCAATGACGCGCAGACCCTCGTGCTTGGCGAGCTGGCCGACCAGCTGGCCGACGGCTCCACTGGCAGCGGAGACGAAAATGGTCTCACCCTTCTTGGGCTTTCCAATCTCGTACAAAGATGAGTATGCGGTCAAACCGGGCATGCCCAGGGGACCCAGGAAGACACGAATGTCCTCGATGCCGAGGGGGTTGTCAAGCTTTTGGATGCGGACCAGTTCCTGCTCGCCGAAGGCGATGTACTCCTGGATTGGAACCTGACCAATGACCAGGTCACCTTCCTTGTAAGTGGCGTTATTGGAGCGCACGATCTTGCCAATGGTACGGCTGTCAATGGGCTTATCGAGAGTGAAGGCGGGGGCGTACGACTTGGCCTCGGCGGAACGCATACGGCCACGCATGTAGGGGTCGAAGCTGGTGTAGAGGGATTGCATTACGACACCATTGTCGGGAGCGGCAACGCTGGCATCATAAGCGGCAGTCTCGACGACCACGTGCTCCCCGGGGACGGGGTATCCCTGGGGGATCTTCTTGAAAACGAGAGTCTTGTTGACGGACATATTGTAGCTGTGTGGTAGGAAAGATAAAGATGGGAGGTAGCAATTTCCCGAAGTATGGCGGGAACTCTTTATATGACTGAGCTGTTCATCATAGCGGGGCTGTACCGAGGATCAAATACAGTCCCTTTTTTCCAGGTTTGTCTTTTCAATTACAAACCAGATGGATCCCGGAGAAGCTTCTCAAGATGGTGATTCTCCAAATGATGGACTCCACTTTGCTGCAGTTCCTACTTTGACATGCATAATTCAATTCCCATACTCCGAGCATATGTTGTACATTCAACAGGTGTACGACGAACACATCACGGTGGCAACGGTACCAGGTTTTTTTTTTACAAAACAGTGGGGAACGGATGGATTGAAGACAACTCAGGCCGACGGAGACAGCCATTTTAGGTAGGAAAACCGTGACCCATCTCAACAAAATGTAATAATTGTTGATTAATATACACCCCGATGAAAATGCTGATTGTTAAGCATCGGAGCAGCTGGCCGTTTTAGGATAAAGCGGATAATGAGATGGTGTGATGTATATTTCGGACCTGTGTTGGATACTTTATACAAAGTATCCAACACCATTCTTGTTTTGCCATAAAGACATTCACATTATTGGATTGGAAAATTATGCATTAAGTAAATGAGTAAATAGTCATTGCTGGAATATGCACCTCCGTTCTGGGCCCTGAAATGCACGGAACTGAATGCACCTAACCACACCTAGGGATAACCTAGGCCTTGCCAGCGAGTGCGCCAGCAGCCTTTTCAATAAAGTAGTGCTTACCCTTGATCATCTTGACCATAAAGCTGAAAGGCACAAACCCGAAAATCTGACCCGTACCACCAGCTTCACCAACGGGTACAACCATCAAGATGCTGCTGCCCTGGTCATAGGTCTTGATAGCAGTGCCGCCTACAATGGCGGCTTTGAGGTTGGCTGCCGCCACATGCGCTTGCTCCGTGGCCTTAAAACTGAGACGCATCGAGTTATTGGTGATATCGCCAGCAGCAAAGATAGGCAGAGTTGACCCTTCAGTCGATTGAATACGCATCTCTTTGTTCACTGTCACCCAGCCATCTTTATCCAGGAACTGAGCTGGAATAAAGCTGTTGTTGGGTGTCGCACCGGTAGTGGGGATGTACAGGTCAGCCGAAAGCTTGTCTCCGCCTTCCAGTGAGACGGTCCAGTTGGAGCTATCGTCGGCCGGAGTTTCGACTCCAACGACTTGCTTCGAGGTCACAACCTTGACCTTCTTCTGTTCTAGCAGCTTGCGTGCGGCAGAGCTGGCGGATGGTTTGAGCATCGGGAGCACACGATCTGTCGCTGAGATAATCGTGATAGAGACCTTGCCGGCATTGCCACTTTGTTCCACTGCCTCAGCAAGCTCACCAGCCAACTCAACACCAATAGGGCCTGCACCGCCAATTACGATCTCCTTCGCCCCAGCAATTTGTTCCTGTGCCGACTCGATCAGCTGCTTCATGTCATTGTGGTTCGACTGCTTGAATGGGATGGAGGTGCCGGTGAGTGAGCCAGTAGTGGCAGATGTAGTGCTGCCCGATGCGATCACGAGGTAATCATATGATATGGTCTTGCGTTCGCCCTCGTTGGGGGTCACAGAGACCGACTTGGCAGCGATGTCGATGGCAGTTGCAACTCCAGGAAGGAACTCGAACGCGTCGGCCCGGTAGCCTGCGAAAGCATCCTTGATTGGGAGCAAGTACTGCTCCGGGCGGAAGGCCTTGGGTTTGGCGACGATACGTGGGGCGGCAACGTTCCAATAGAAGCTGGTTGAGGGATTGATCAGCACAACCTTAGCATCAGGCACGTCACGAAGCACAGAGTGAGCAATATGAAGGCCCGCAAACGAGCCTCCAATGATGACTATATCGATAGGAGCCATGATATAGAGTCGAGAAGTGGACAAGGGTAAGTTTCTTGTTTTGATTTTGATGAAAGGGACGGGATGTCTTATATGTGACAAATTGAATCTTATCTCCGCGCGTACATGCAGGGTCAGCAGTAGGCCTGGGATACATATGTTTTCCGCTGTCAACCTCTAGCGCCATATTGAAAAAAAAGAGCGTTAGTTGGTGAATTTTCCATTTCCATATCTACCTCAATCCTGACCAACCCCATTGTCTGCCCTTATGGTAATTTGCTTTAATTGGTTCACCATCTCTGAGATTTGGACTGAACCTTGGATTCTGTTTGTGTTTGGCCTGTTTGGTCTGTTTGCTGTGTTTGCCACAAATGTTCACTTGCTCCTATCTCGGGATGTTGTCTATCGATAAGGATCATGTGACTCCGTAATTATTTTTGCGCTTCTCCTTGCAACGCCCCAAGTGCAATTTGTATCTTCATCATCTCCTCATCCAAAAAATTTCCGCTAGCATTACATCATGATGCTTGGAACAGTTCGCCGATTCGGCGTTTCACATGCACTGCGCGCTACTGCGCCTCGCTCAGTCTCAACACGCTTGGCTCAGCCACCGAAATGGCAGGCTCCTTCGAACCTCTCATCTCTTGCTGCAACCAGATCGCTTCATTCCTCTTACCCGAGGCTGTCTGTGGCTACTGTGGAGGCAATTGTCAAAGAGACTGAGTCCTACAAGCCTGCGATAATCACAGAGTTTTCCGACCTGGCGGCGGAGAATCTCATTCACAACAAGATTATCAAGAACATCATTCAACCTGACCGGATGAATCTTAAGACTATGACTGAGGTGCAGTCTCTTACTCTGAATGAGATTGTCAAGGGCGATGATATGTAAGTTTGAGTTGACAGATTAGTGACATTGATTGGTCCGCTAACCCGCGAAACTTTTTCCCAGCCTTGCCCAGGCCAAAACAGGTACCGGCAAGACGCTTGCTTTCCTTGTACCCACACTTCAGAACATTTTGAATGACCCTACTGTCGACGTGTCCAAGGTTGGCCGTCGCTCAGTCAGAACTGCTCCCTCGGAAATTCGTGCTCTTATTATCTCTCCTACCCGCGAACTCGCGGAACAGATCGCAGTTGAGGCTAAAAAAGTTGCATTTGGCACTGGTCTTATTGTCCAGACTGCTGTAGGCGGTACGCAGAAGCGTGCCGGTCTTGCCAAGATCCAACAGGAGGGATGCCATCTGCTAATCGGTACCCCGGGACGTCTCAAGGATATCCTCTCGGACCCTTGGACTGGTGTCTCTGCCCCCAAGCTGAACACTCTGATCCTCGATGAGGCAGACCGTCTGCTGGACCAGGGTTTTGCTCCTGATGTTGAAGAGATCCAATCAATGCTTCCCGACCCCACAAAAGTGGACCGCCAAACACTCATGTTCTCGGCCACCGTTCCCAGAGAAGTTATGCAGATGGTTCGTCAGACCCTAAAGCCAAACTTCAAACACGTCAATACCGTTCGTGAAGACGAAGTTCCAACCCACCACAGGGTGCCCCAGAAGCTTGTCTACACACGCGGTCTTGAGAACAGCCTGCCCGCCCTTCTCGAGCTTGCTCAGAATTGGCAAACGCGTCGGGATAATGGCGAGCAGCTGCGACCTTTCAAGGCCATCGCCTACTTTAATTCCACTGCTGAGACTAAGGTTTCCGCTGATGCTTTTAACGCCATTGCTCGGTCTTCGGAGTTCCGCCAGTCCTCCATGGGTAACATGAGAATGCTCGAGATTAACTCGCGTCTCACACAGGCTCTCCGCACTCGCAGCGCAGACAACTTCCGCAGGGCTCGCGAGGGTATCTTGTTTTCCTCAGACGTGACTGCTCGTGGTATGGATTTCCCGGACGTCACTCACGTCGTCCAAATTGGTGTCCCTCGGGACCGTGAGACTTACATTCACCGCCTCGGCCGCACAGCTCGTGCTGGCAAGGAAGGTGAAGGCTGGCTGTTTATGCACCGGGCCGAACAAGATGTCTACAGGAAGCGCCTGGGCCGTCTCCCATTGAATGTTGACACATCTTTGCAATCTGCTGATGCAGACCTTTCCCAACCTTTCTCCAACGACACACAAGTTGGCAAGATTGTTAACCAGATCAGCGAGGGTCTGGCCCAGTGTGACGGTGCTACCAAGGTCAAATCCTACATGGGCCAACTCGGTACCACCACTGGAAACTTCAACAGCAAGAGAGAGGCCATCCAGGCACTCAACCAGATGTTCACCGTGGGATACAACATGCAGACCCTCCCCGAGCTCAGCCCTAGATTGATGCAGCAAATGGGTCTTAACCGAATCGACGGTGTCAGCGCAGGAGATGGCACCCGCCAGCGACGCGAGGGTGGCTTCTCCCGCGGTGGTGACCGAGGAAGCCGCGGTGGCTTCTCTCGCGGTGGCGACCGTGGTGAGCGTAGTGGTTTCTCTCGCGGTGGTGACCGTGGCGGTTTCTCTCGTGGCGGTGACCGTAGCGAGCGCAGTGGCTTCTCCCGTGGTGGTGACCGTGGCGAGCGCAGTGGTTTCTCCCGCGGTGGTGACCGTGGCGGCTTCTCTCGTGGCGGTGACCGTAGTGACCGCTCGTCTCGTCCTCGCCGCTCTTACGACGATTCCTTCGGCGAGGACTCTTTCCGGTTTTAAGTTTGGGTTGAATGAGAGATCAACTCTTGTCAGCCATGCTGGCAACTCTAATCTGTCTGGCATTTCCAACGGATAGCAAGGATGCTGTTCGGTGAGACCAAAACAGCGAAAAGCGAAAAGATGAAGCAACCATTCTGGCATTGGGCGGCGTTCTCCCATCTCTTTTTGAGGACTGACTTTGTACTATACACCCCTGGGTGCTCTGTGTTTCTAATTAAGACTTCTCTCCTCTTTGTCTTATACTCTACTTGGTTGTTCTGTGGGATTCTTTTGTGGATACGAAGATCTGACTTTCACGATTGAATTCATGTACGATATCTTCTATTTATTTGCCATTATTCTAAATAGGACTCAATTTTGATCTTGACCCAACATCCTTCTACCGAAACAGCATGTTGATAAACAGATGAAGATTTAACCGCCTCTACTAATATCCATT